CCCCCGCGCCCTCTTCCCCGGGCCCTGCCAGCCCCGTGCGGCAGGACGCCACGCACACAGCGGATCAGATCCACGGGGGAGGCTGGGGCCGTTCAAAGCAGCCTTACCGCCAAGGAACTGCCGAAAAAGCCGGAAGTGGAGCCCGGCCTTGAGTAAAATACCCGACCGCACCAAGCCCCGAGTTCAAGCCTCAGGACTGGCAAAAAAAACCTGAGGGACGAAGCTTCGCGACTCAGGAAGCCAAGCTGAGGATCCCGGCTCCCAGCCCGGGCCACCAGAAAACCAGAAGCGGGAGAGCGCTGGCTGGCTGGGGCCGCACCAGGCCCTGAGTTCAAGCCCCACGGCCGACAAAAAAAAAAGGCCGGATTGGAGGCATAACTAAAGTGGTCGAGTGCCAGAAGCAAGCACAGGCCCCGGCTCCGACCCCAGAACCGCCTGTGAGTAGCGCAGTGACTTACTTCATCGCTCCCCGCCCGCGGTGGCCATGCGCGGGGAGGCGCCACGCTGCGGCTTCGCTTCCCGGGAGGGCCGCTGTCAGCCTCTGGTAATGACGAGGGTAGCGGATCGAACACTAACTATGGGATAAAAAGAGGAAATGAACAAGGCTCGGGCGTGCAAAGGTCCCCGTCCCACTGCGGAGCCCCTCCGGGCAGGGGGCTGCCTGCCTCTGCCGGCCGCGCCCTCCGCCCCCACGGCGGCGGCCTCTCCCCTCGCGGGCTGCGCAGCCCCACCGTGCCCCGGGCCTGCGGCCTGGCGGTCACACGCTGCAGCACCGGCGCACGGCGGCAGCCGCCGCCCAGGCCACTCCCGCGAGCTTCCTCACTGACCAGGCACACCTCACGCGGTGTTGGCCATGTGGCCCGCCCCCGGCCACCCCACGCTGGCCCTGTCTCCGCTGCCCACTCCTGACAGATCACAGAAGCAGCAGGTCCTCCAAGCCCTCCGCACAAGGGTCCGTCCCCCCCCTTCACCAGTCGGCTTGCTTTTTTTTGTTTTGTTTTTGTCGGTCATAGGCTTGAACTCTGGGCCTGGGCGCTGTCCCTCCGCTCTGCAGCTCAAGGCCAGCACTCTACCATATGGGCCACTTCTGGTTTTCTGGTGGTTTACTGGAGATCAGTCTCAGAGTCTCACGGACTTTTCTGCCCAAGCTGGCTTTGAACTGGGATCCTCAGATCTCAGCCTCCTGAGTCGCTAGGGTGACAGTTGTGAGCCACCAGTGCCCAGTTTTTTGAGCCATGCTGGGGTTTGAACTCAAAGCTCTCATTCTTCGGCAGGCGCTCTACCATTTGAACCAGGCCTTTTACCCCCTTCACTTCAGTCCTTTTTGGAGGGTACAGCCGCATTTTATTCTGGGCCAGCCTGTTTGTATCTCCTCCAACGTGACTGGGGTCATGGGTGCCACACACTGGGCTACTAGTTGAGCTGGGGTCTCAAGGGCTCAACCCCGACCCTCCTTATCCCCATCCTCCGGGGCTAAGGAGTCTGGCCTTCCTTAGTGGCCAGCTCCACACCAAGCCCTGGACGCCCTGAGGACGGCCATCACCCACTATCTGCAGGAGCTCACTGGATGTCCACGTGAGCACAGAGGGGCTGCACACCCAGTGACCCCTCCACCACTGACCAGCTCGCTGGCCAGCCGCCTCCCGGGCTCGGCCCACCCTGTCCCTGTCGGTGCCATCTGTCACCTTCAAAGCCCAGCTGTGGCCACCTAGAGGCACGGGCTGCAGGGCAGTGCTGGCCCGTGCGCCGGACAGCAGGCAACAGCCACGGCAGCAAGCAGCAGCTGGGGGCGGGCCAGTAATGAAGCCCAATGAAAGCCTCCTCAGGGGAGCACCTGGTGGCCCTGGCAGGTGGGAAATTGCCAATAGGGGTGTCAGGTGGGGCCAGAGCCTGTGAGATGGGCTGGCAGAGGGGAGCTGGCTGCAGGAAGGTGTGGGTTTTGGGGGGGTGGGGAGATCGGTTGTGGGTGTTGAACTCTGGGCTTGGGCTGTTCCTCAGCTCTTCAGCTCAAGGGGAGCGAGCGCACCCCTTGAACCACGGCACCACTTGCGGTTTTCTAGGGGTTCATTGGAGATCAGAGTCTCATGGCCTTTCCTGCCCGGGCAGGCTTTGAACCGTGATCCTTGGATCTCAGCCTCCTGAGCTGCTGGGGTGACCGGCAGGAGCCCCCGGCACCAGGCAGGCATGGGGTTCTCAGCTTAAACCCGCTCTGCACCTGTGCTGCGCTGGGTCCTGGACTCAGCTCTGGGCAGGAAGCACTCACTCTCCATCCCCGGAGTCCTGGCGGCCGGACATGGACTACAGGAGGGCCTAGGGAGATGGCCCTGATGTCCCAGGCCACCAGAGCCACCGGACTCTGGTCCACCTCACAAGGTGGGGTGCTCCCACGGGGAGGTGGCCAGGCTTCCTCCGAACCCCACGGCTGCAGGCAGCGTGGCAGCCAGCACCCCACGGCACTGCCACGGGACCTGCTGAGGCCAGCACCATGGGGAGGGGCCTGCTGTCCCCACCCAGGCTCCTCCCTCCTGAGCCGAGCCTCAAGCCTGTGCTGCAGGAGGCCTCCGACACCAGGCCCCGACGCAGGCCTGAGCAGCCTCTCAACACCCCCTGGACAGCACCGTGACTGGGCAGGCTTGCGGTGTGACATTAAATGAGCCGGTCAGCCGCCAATCAGTCTCACACGCTGTGAGGGGCGCCTCCTCCCAGGTGGCCTCCAGGAAGGGTCCAGGACCAGGGACATGTCTTCCCCAAGGCAGCTCAGATTGCCCCTGGGAGGCTCAGGAAGGTGGAAGACCCCGAGGGGCAGCCACTTGCCTTTGTGGTCAGACACCGTGAAGCCACCAGGGAACGGTGTGGAAGCTTTGGGTCCCTGGGGCCACCTATGCCTGGGGACAAGGTCAGTGTGGAGCACCAGGACTAGAAATGTCCTCTGGCTTCCTCTGCCCCCAAGTCTAGCACACCCAGGGAAAATGCCTGGAACAATCTCCCCAAAAGTGCGTTTCTTCCTCTCCTGCCCAGGGCCAAGGGGCGCACACCCTGCGCCCGCTGCCGCCTCCCGCGCCAGGGCCTTCAGGACAGAGGCCGGGCTGGTGCCCAGCACATCCCGGGCACCCCTCCCCCAACACCACCCTCTCTGGGCCTCTCCTTGAGGGGACACCGGAACACAGCCCCCCAAGCGCACACTCGGTATCAGAGGCCTTCTTCTGTGTCCACCGTCCACAGGTCACATTCTGAACCCTGGCCCCAAGTCTGGGACTCCCCAAAGCTCACTGTGAGTCAGCCCTGCTAGCAGGCAGGGCACAGACTTCCTCCCCGGGCCTCCCTGGGGATGCGGCAGGGGCGGGCAAGGGGGGCCACATCCGGACAGGCCCCCAGGGGCTGCAGGCCTGGCTCACGAGGCAGCCGCGGCCTCGCCCCCTGCCGACCCCTGACAGGGTGGCGTGGGAGGAAAAATCTTCCAGCCATCTGCTCAGCTGCTGGGTTTCCGGCTGGGCCGGCCTGGGCTGGGGCAGGGCAGGCAGCCAGGAGGACCTGCTCCCCTGGGGAAGTGTCCCTTGTCCCCACGGGTGGGAGGACTCAGGGCTGCTCAGCCAGAGACCCCAAGGGCTGGCTGCCCACACTGCGGGGCCAGTGAGCCCCAGGACCTGTGGCCAGGCCCGGGAGCTCAAGTGGCCAGAAAGTAGGATACAGGGTTCCTGGATTCAATTAGGCCTGACGCAGCAAGTGGCCCCTACTGAGCAGCTTGCAGCCTGCTTCCTTGCGGAGTGCGGGCGTCCGGGAAGCAGGTCGGGCTGGACCAAGCCACTTCCACCACCCCACTCTCAGAGGACACACACTCACACGCTCAGCCACACTGCTTCCGGTCCCACCCAGCCAGGGATGCTCACCACTCAGGGGCCCCGGGATCTTTTCCCCAGGAATCCCGGCTAGGAAGTGCCTGCCCCTCTTGGCGGTTAGTAACAGCAGCCTGCACTTGTTGAGCACTGACTGCATGCCTCCGCGCCGAAAGAAGTCCATCAGGTAAAATCACCGGTGCCCCACTCCACAGATGAGAAGACTTAAGCTCAGAGAGGCGAGGGACAGGCCCAAGGTCACACAGCCTGGGCAACCAAGTCCGGGCAGTTACAGCTCCACGCTTCCCACAACCGCATGGAGGGGCGGAGACTCTTGGCCCCCACTGGCCAGGTCCTAAGAAAGGCCAGGGATCTTGCCCAAGGCCTCCTGATGAAGCTGGCAGAGCCGGGACCTGGCACACGCCT